AAGCGCTCCCAGTGTCACCAAAGAAGAGCCTTTCCCTTTAGCAGCTGTCCCTCCCAATGGGGTGTTCTCTTTCTGTCCCTGGTGCCACAGAGGAATGTCACCTGGCTGGTGTTKTGATTTTTGGCAGTAGGGATGTGAGGTGCCTTCGTGTGCCACTGCTCAGGCAGTGATCGTTCCCATTTCAGAGTAGAATCACAGAATTTATTTGGCTGGAAGGGACATTAAACATCACCCAGTTCCAGCCCTGCTGCCATGGGCAGGGATGTCACTGTCCCTGGTTGCTTAGGGCCCAATCCAGCCTGGGGCATCTACAGCTTCTCTGAGTAACCTGTTCCAGTGTCTCACCACCTTCTGGGTAAGGGGAATTTCTTCCTAACATCCGAATCTCTCCTCTTTTAGTTTTAAAAGATGKTTCAAAACCGCTTCCACCCTGTTCTACCACTATCTGCATGTGTAAAAAGTCGCCCTAACAAATACCTTTGCTCTCAACCAGCAAACTTTGACATTTTYAGTTTAGGTGTGGTCCTGCATCTCCCCACCTGCCATTCATCCTGGAATGCCCCACACAAACCATGCCCTGCCAGACACCCACAAGCTCAGCTTGCCTAAACCTTCAGGGAAAACACACTCTCCTGGATTTTCCTCCCTGTTTCACAGGGACAGGGTGTTGCCCACAGCCTTGATGATGGGTGGATGGCAACAGCCATGATCACAAAACTTTCTAAATGTGGCAACAAACCTGATACATTCAATAAAAGATTCTGGTTCACGCAAGGAGTTTCCCCCATTGATATTCCCAAAAGCAAAACTGTTTCTGTGAAATAGACATTTCTTTTAACAGGAAAATTCAATTTCTCTTCCTTTTTCTTATCCAGTTCCTCCTCTTTGCCTTCATTGCTACAAATTCCCTAATCTCGTTATTCTTGGGTGTTGGAAGAGTGTAATCATCCGAGCCATGAAATCGAAGACAACAGCATCACTTCCAGGGAGGTGACTTAAGTCAGAGGAATTAATTCTCCCAGCAGACAGCTCTTATTTAGAACAAATGTGATTTTCAGAACCGGAGCTATGTCCCTAATGAGGCTCTATGAAAATAYACGTAGCCCAGAGCTGCTGGGAAATTCAGCCTTGTGCCAGAGAAATGCATCAGGTCAGGAAAACAACAGCCAGTGGGATCGTTCAGTCAGTTCATGCCTCAGTTCCCTGCAGGGAAAACCCATCCCTGTGTTCCTCACCCTCAGAGAATGCTGACGGAACAGGGGAATCTACGTGCATTTGTTGAGTGTCTGAATCTGCCCCCCAAAAGGTGCATTTTGAGGTTTAATCAAGGTCAGAGATGGTGTTTTCTCCCAGAAGCCAGCACACACGAGCAGGTGGAGCTCCACGCAGCACAGGATTAAGGCTTGGAAGTCCTTGCCCTGGTATATTCTTTCCCTGGGAAAAGCTGAGATCCCCTTTTTCAGCTCTGTGCCACACTTCTCTCTCTTGCCTTTYGTCTTTCTCTTCACCCAGAGCAGGGGCTGCCCTATTTGCACCCACACAGCCAAAAACCAGGGGCATGGACAGGACTGTTGGACATCTCCATGCTGTCAGACCACATTCAGAGAGATTTCCAGAGATTTATGGCCATRGAAATCCACTGATCCAGCAAGGATGCAGCAAAAGTTTTGGGGCAGGTTGGAGTTTTCAGACAAAAGAGAAGAAAGAAAAGCCATTTGTAGACCACCAGGTGGGATGGAGCTGGGAGGGAACCCTCAGGAAGCTTTCCATGCTCTGCTCCCTGGGGCAAACAGCTCTGCCACTCCAGTGCAGCTGTAGCTGCAAATCCCAAATAAAGGGATTTTATCTCCAGTAACCTCCACGGCCCTGTGAAAGGCTCTCAAAAAACAAATCTGGCTACTGAATTGCATGAGCAGCCTTAGGGTGCAGACAGCAGCAATCTGCCCACCCCTAAGAGAGCTGCAGAAGCCAGACCCCTGGGTGTGCCAGCAGAAAATCCTTCCCACATGTAAAACCAGCCTCCAATGGAGAATGTGGAGACCCAGAGGCAGCAAATGGGGTAAAGCACCAGCTGCTTGCCATGGGAGAAGGAGGATCAGCTCCTCACAGCAGCATCTCAGCTGGAGATGGGAAGATGAGCCCCAGGTCCTGCTGATTTCTCATGCYGAGATAACAACAGGGAGACAATTAACAATTTATCTCCAAAAGAAGCATCTTTCCTGCCTATGTGCCAGCAAAAGAAACAATTTTTCCATCTGACTTTATAACTTCATCAAATATCCATCTGGCACCAGGCCAGGGAACTGTGTGTGAGGTTTTATTCGCTATCACAGCAGATGAATGTGAGAAACTCCAGTGAATATTTCATCTGGGAAGACCCACTGTGAGGATTTTGGGAGGGTGCACAGATCACCATAGGCACAGCTCATTAAAAGCTGAGAAATTGCAGAGAAATCTGGCTTTTGGGATTTGATTGAACACAGGGGCTCTGATAAGGAACTGCAGTCCCAAAGCTGCCTTTGGAGTTTGGTCCTGATGTGGAGACAGAGTTCAGATCTTTTTTTAGGAGAGCCTGGAGGATTGAGTAATAGAGCAATCCTCAAGTGCTTGGATCGGAAATTCCGTCTGGAACCTGGGAAGTTTATTTCCTGGCAAAAGCACCATGAGAACCAGTRTATTCTCAGGACAGGCCAATTTCAAGAAATCAAAATTTCCAGATGACTRTGGGCTCCCTGGAAAAACTCCTGGGGCTGTGTGTGCACGGATGCCTTAATAAACATCCTCTGTCCTGACACTCCGTGTGAACTCCACGCCCTGTCAGAGAGTTTGGGTCCTGCAGGGACCCCAAAAGAGGAGCTCCTCGAGGTCATCAGTCTGAAATCCAGGAGTTTTAAACAAATATTCAAACCTCCCCCAGAGCATCTTGTAGCAGAGCTGCTGGTGGTGTCTGAGGKTCTCTCTTGTGGCTGCTGAAAGCTCAGCTGAGCTGACAGCATCTGACAGTTGGAGAAAACCATCCTTCCAACCTTTAAATTGAGCACATTTGCCATGGGCTCAATGGTGACTAATGACATAAAAGCTCATTTTATTATTTTTTTTTAACAGTGGGACTCTGCAAATGGAAATTTCACATTTTCATGGAGATTTTAGCTCTTCTATGGATTTTTTTTTTTAACTCTTCCAGGACTTATCCAAGGAAAAATGGCCAATTTCTTGCACAGGACTTGTGCTTTGCTGTGGACTTGTGAGTCCTGCAAAAGAACTTCTGTTCAGCACTCATGGTGCTCCTGAGCCAAAATCAGAGGAAAAAGCCAGAGAGAAGTAAAGGCTTCTGGGCAAAGGTGAGCATTTCACAGGAGAGAAGGATGGAAGGGGTCACCAGCTCAGCCTAATGAAGGGAAAGCTCTAGGAAATGTGCAGCAAATCTAAACTGTTTCAGGGATAAAAATTTCCAGGAGGTAAAAAGATATCTTGGTTAAAAGCCACTGTTGGCACAAGGATAAAAGGAAATAAACCAGCCACCAGGTAAATTTAGGCTGGATTTTTTTTTTAAGTTAATTACATTTCATATAATGTTTCTGGTTTATTCTTCCAGATGGAAAGAGAAGCTCAGGTTAGTGTAGAGCAGCTGCTGTGGCAGGAATGCTACAGGCTGCAAGTGCAGGAGGATGGCAGTGGATGCTCACCAAACCCTTCTCTGTGCTTTCCTTTTTGGTCCCACTTTAAAAAAAAAAAAAAAAAGAAAAACCTTTCCGGGGAGCTTTTCCTAATGGCCAAAAAAAATCCTTTCTGAAGGGAAAAGGTTTTAATTTTACACACATTGTCAGAGGAGCCTTCTTAGCCAGCTCATTTCTCAGGTCTTTAACCCGCCAGGCTGCCTGGAATGGAGAGATTTCCTCTCATCTCAAATCACTTGGCTGCACATGGGAGAGAAGCCCTTTGCCGAGGTGAATTTGCAAGGCTCTCAAAATCCTCTTTATTCTCGCTGTGCTATCCCTCCTTGACTCATCTCCGAGAGCTCACGTTGGGCTAAGCCCAGGRCGAGCACGGAAAGGTGACAGCACCAATCCCAGACACACAGATACAGCTCCCACCCCAAACCTGCACCAGAAATTAAATATCATCTCTACCCAGCACTGGGAGGATCGGCTGAAATAATCCAATCTGGTTCTCCATCACCAGAGAGGCTGAATCAGCACAGCCCACACCCTGCTCCTGCTCACAGTTCACATCTGGCCTCTTCAGGTACCCAGCTGGGGGTTAAACACACACGTGCAGACAAAAAAAAAAGGTTGAATTTGGTTATTCCTGTTGTCAGTCAGAGCGATGTAAGTGCGAATCTGCAGTGGGGTTAGGGTTTAGGCAACCAGGACTTCAAGGAAAAGTGGCATTCAAGAGGTAAAACAGATTCCTAGGGATGCTTTTTCCTTGCACTGCCTGGGAAATCAGCAGGAAAGTGAGGAGGACGAGGCAAAATGAACACAGACAGGATTGGGGCACACACAGTCTGGGGATAAGGGAGAGGGCAGTTGTTGGAGTGAAGAAGCAAGAAGGCAAAATGCTTTCTGAGTGCAATTATTTTAATGTGTCTGTCTTTTCCAAACTCCACATTGCACACACGGAAACAGCGATTTTTAGAAAAGGACTCACACCRGAAATGCTGACTTGGAGAAGAAGGAGCTCTCCCCATCTCCCACTGCACAAGGAGGCACGAAATTCACAACAACATCAGTCACAGCTGATCTGGGAGGGGAACGGACAGACAGACATGGAAATTACAAAAGACAGGAAAAGGCAGGAGCAGGAAGGCAGGGGATGTTGTCATGGACACCTTGCTGGGCAGGAGAGCAGCTCACTGGTCCTTCCCCCTCTGCCTGCCCAGGTGCCATCTCTGCTGTTGTCATCTCTTGGTCAGCCACTGATTATCCATCACTGGTGGCATTTCCTGTGATAAGGAGGGATCCCAGGATGTGCTCCAGRCTTGGCTATGAAGYCTTCAGCRAACAMAAAAAAAGGAGTTGTTGTGGTTATAACTTGATTTTGCGAAGTTTTTGGCTCCAGGTGCTCCAAGAGAAGTGCTGCAGTAAYAATATTCACATGGAAAATGCCTCTGCAAGAATTCCTACCTGTTGTGTTCTGGTGAGGCCAGCAAGCTGGGAACCAAACCACATCACCAAGCTGTTCTGCTTAATTGCTGCAGCACTGATGGGCAGACAGAAATCACTGGAGCCTTTTGCCCAGCACAGCAGCTCCTGCATTCCWAAGGGCAGGCAGTGCTGGAGGCTGAGCTCCCAAAAAGGCAAGCTCTACAGGAAATCACGCAGGGATCAGGTTGTACCGACCCATCCACCCCGGAGCAATGTCCATACTCTGGTGTGCCCACACCAGCCCTGCTCCTTGGCAATGCTCATCCTTTCTGTGGAGCTGGGAGCAGGTGTTTGGCCTCTCACAGCAACATTTAATGACTTGCCCAGATGTACCAAACACTCGATCTACCCACATCTGCCCCAGCCCACACAAAAATCCTTCTCCCTGCCTCTTCTCCCCCTAACCAGCACAGAGCAGCCCTGCTGAAATCACAGATGTAATTCCTTGGTGGAGAGGGAGCAGCTGAAGGCAGCAAACTGCTGGAGTGCTCAAGAACTCATGTCAAGRCTGAATATTTCGTCAACCTTTCACCAAGGAATTATTTCAGTTCGGCCTCATCCCACCTGAGCTCAGCAGGGGCCATCAGTGGCTCCCCAGGGCAAGCAGGACACTCATGCATGGCCTGTAGAACACTTTTTTGGCTTTTGTTTCCAGCTCCCCCATGGTCACACACATGGTCCATGGCACAGCCTGGCCACACAGGGTTCAGCTGGTGGCCCAYGAGTGCCTTGGCCATGCCACAATCCCTCTCTCTCCCCCAGTATTTCCCCTTCAGCCCTCCCACCTCTTTCCACACACATTTCTGATGGATAAAGCCTCAGGGCTGTGCTGCCCTCAGCCAAGCAAGCAGCTGGTGTTGGGCTGAATGGGCAGCATCACCTCCCTCAGCTGCAGGAGGTGTAAAATACCAYGAGAAAGAGATGGCCAAAGGGAAAATGACACAGAAAACACCACCCAGAAATGCTGAGTGGTGGTGAGRGCGTGGACTGTTCACTGACCCTTCTAACCTGGGAAATTTGGGGCTTCAAAGGGAATTCATAGGATTCAGGATGTAAACTGTGGGTGTCCCTGCTGCAGGATCACCAATGATGAGAATTGACAGTCAAGGTGTGAATGGATTATTTCATGGAGGAGAGATCCAKTCAGGGCTACTGCACACAGGCACAATTCCAGCTCAGGGAGCTCCTAAGCAGCAGCACATTGAAGGCTGGGAATGCACTTTGGACAAGAACATCCTGCTTTTCCCTGTCTTCATGCACTTCTTCACACCTTGCTCGTGGCTTTTTCAGAAATGGGATTCTGGGTTAGCTGGGCCATTGTAGTGGTCYGGTATGGTCCAGATGACTTCCTAGTCATTCAAAGTCCCAAAAAACTTAGTTTCAAATACAGAGTTATCATAAAGAGAGAACCTATGCAGCCATTCCTGCTGGAAATCCATTCTCCTGCTGCTGCGTACCCACAGTATGTAATCATTGCCCAAAAATTCCATTTGCARGCTCCTGTTGGTCTCTGGTTACCCCAAGGATTCAGCCTGACTGATCCAAGATTTGTACAGCACAGCTGCAGCTCAAACCCATTAACATGAAAAAAAATACAGGTCCTAATTGTGATCCTTGTGGTTCCTTCTCTTAGAAAGGGCAGCAAAATCACCTGAATAAAGGCAAGATGGGGCAAGAATTTTCAGCAGAGGGAGATGGTTTCACACTGCTTTTTCAGCAGCAAACACATAGCTTTGTCCTCACTGCCAAAAAGTCTGGCACTAAAAATGCTGAAATCTTCTTGTGACTGAGTGGCAGCAAACTGTAATTTACTGCATTCCTGCTTCTTTTATGTCCAAGAATTGCTTCACTTCTGAGAAGAAAGAGCTGTCATTTGTCAGTCCCATGTAGCCTCTCCTTCCAACTGTCACAATTCCACATTATGTCAGGCAAATTAATTCATTCCCCTCTTCCTATCTCTTCCCCAAAAATGGCAGTGTATTTCCAGGAAATGGARGGTCATCTTTTCACAGCAGCATCATTATCAATTTTCTTTTTAAAACCATATAATGGGCATGTTTCAGCAAAAAATCCGGATGATTTTTTTTTCCCCTGCTGTTGCATCCATCTCCCTTAAAGTGGTTCAGAGAGACCTGACTGTCTGCTGGCTTTTCACAAGCACTTTCTGCACACTTCTGACTGATGGTTCACATCCAGCCCACCCATTACAGCATCTGGCTGGCTGCTGACAGAAGCTTTGCCCGGGTTTAGGATGTGGCCAGGTCCCTGGGCAGGTTGAGCTGTATGGCCTCTCCTCCTGTGGTGTATTTGGCCACTGGCCCATTGCCTTCCATGGTGAAGAGTTTGCAAGCCTTGGCGTTCTCATGGACGGGCGTGGACTTTTTGGAGGAGATGGGGGAGTTGGTGGGGCTCAGCTGGACAGCAGTGGTGTCCTGCACTGTGTGCTCACTGGTTTCAATCTCAAAGGCTGTGTGGCCGGGTTTGATGAGCCCCATGTTGGAACCCGGTTTGGATTTCCGAGCCCCGTGGGCCGGGGGTCTCCGGCTGCAGATGCAGCAGGCACCGAAAAAGGTGAARGCCACCACCAGCAAGATGGGCCCGATGATGATGGGAGGGTTGTTGACAGGGAGGAAGGTYCCAAAGGCAAATGCTCCCACTAAAGTGATGTTGATCCCTGCCAGCATGATGCACAGTCCGCAGGCGCAGCACAGAGCAGGGGAGGGCAGGCCCTGGGGTCGCGTCTTTTTCTGGGGTGGTTTTTGGGACAAAGAGGCGCTGCTCTTTTCACTGAACATGCTGGGAGGAGCCTTGGAGGTCCCTTCAGTSCTCACAGGGTGAATGATGCTTTGAGAAGGCCGGTTCCAGTTTCCTGCTGCCTTGAAACCCTGGAGAGGAATGAAGAAGCAGCTGTTAGAGCGATGAACCACAGCACCTTTGCCTCACCATCCCTGGTGACCAGCATCTCCTCCCAGTTTGCCAGAAACTAGCACAAATCCAAGCCTGGTCTCAAGGCTGAGCCCTCCCTGGATGGGGTGGTCACTTGTGGTCACCCTCAGAAGATGTCCATACTGGAAGGGCTGAGCTGACAACTGAGGGAACTTTGGAGATGATTCGAACAGGCAACACTTCGATGCTGAGTGACAAAAACGCCATCCACAGATGCTGGACGTCACCCCGTCAATCACAAAGGTCCACAATAAATTGGAGCAAATGTGGGTGTTTTGCCAGCTGGACCATGCTTTCTACCATGCATCCACACCATCTTTGGTGAGATCACAGGAGACCCCACAGAAAGGGACTGGGAATCTTGTTTGCCCTGGCAACCATAAAATCAAACTTCCACAAGGTTTGGGCTCAATCAGCACCAGCTCCAGGGTGRAGGCTCATGGAAACTGAGATGCTGAAGTTGAAAAAGAGCCTGTGTGGGGATCTGTCTGGGACCCAAGGCAGTAACACTTAGCCCTGGCTGGCAGCAGCAGCTTCTCCATGGAGGAGATTATTGGCTGTGATGAGAGCTGGCTTTTGTGTTTGCTGTACTTGCTGGGAGGTCAAATTGCCAAAAGCCAATTTGTCAGCAGTTTGCTGGTGATGTCTTTGATTTTACAGGCAGGAGAGCATTTCTCTTCCCAGCCTGATGGCAAACACTAGCAGTCTGCTCTTCCTGACGACCCTGCCTAGCTCCCTAGCTTCTTCCCTCCTCTCCTGTCAAAACCCTTTCAAAAGTGTTGTCAGCGAAAAACTGATACTGCTCAGTTTCTATGGCAAGAGGCAAAAATCACTGCTATGCTATCAACACTCTGTAGCCACTAAATTAAAAAAAAAAACCAAAAACAACAAAACAACAAACAATAAACCATCACCCATCACGCTGAGACATGGCAGTGGGATCAGCAGGGCATTTTTAACATGTTTCCTAGGTTTGAAAATTTTCCGGCACCTCCAGCTGAGGCAAAGCTCTCTGCTGCTCTATCGGGTGTCATATCTCATTTCCTTGGCTTGGGCTTTTGTTTAGACGTGAATGTGTGCAGCAGTGAACTTTCAGTGGAGTTGCTATTCAGTGAGACATCAGCTGGAGCCGACAGGAACAGGTGCATGAAAGGATTAAATCCTTCCTCGCCTGGGGACRTATGACTGAGAAGGGGTCTCTCAGCATGCAAAGATTTTTCAGGATGCTGAGAGTTGAGAGAGAAAGGGCATTTTCTCCATCAGCCAGGCCAACACATTTGCATGYTTCCCTGGCAGTGTCCTCTTGTTCTGCCTGGGAACCCTGGCACGCTGATGAGRGCTGGAGCTGATTCTGCCTCCTTCACCAGCTCTGGAAGATTGCTTCTGGATAAAGACACACGTGCACACAGTTTGCAACAGCTCCTGCAGGTGCCAGTCCAAACCTTTGGCACACAGAGGCTGCAGAAACCCCAGTGTGGCTCTTCCCCTTGGTTTGCCCCACATTCCCCCACTGCCAAGTGCTCACCAGGGACCTGCGTGACTTCTCGCGGTTAAAAAACATCGCAGATTCACTCCACTAGCTTTCTTCCTCCTGCCTTCTCAGAGCTCATCTGCTCCCAGTCTGAAAGAATCCTCCCTCCTGGAAGAGCCAGGCAGCTTGGCTCCAGTAGGACACAGAACAAGCCAGCTGCTTCTGCTCTTAGGCCAGGCATCACCAGAGGTCAGGCTGCCACTGAGATTTTCAAGAGGAGCTCCAACCTGTTGCCCATCCCATCTGTCAGTGGGCACCTGTAGACACTCCAGAGAGACCGTGCTGGTTTCAAGGCTGCAGCAACATCACCCAGCATRGTCCCTGGCAGCTCATTTTCTCTGCCTGGCAATTTTTGTTCATCATTACAGATTCCTGAGCATGGAGGCTGAAACTTGGGTGAAATCCTCACTGGATTGCCCCAGTAAGGGGAGGAGAGGGACAAAGGGGCTCGTTCACTGGCAATGATAGATCAGGACAGCCCATCCAAGGGCAGCTCACTCAGCAGGTAAAGGAGCACCACAGCTCCACTCTGGAAGGATGAGTGACACAGGAGAATGATCCAGCTAAGCTCACTGTGGGAACAATCACCATCAGTTTTCTAGGCATTCATGGCTCCTTCCCACAAGGAGAGGGAACCAGACCTAGAGGGAACCAGTAGAGAAACAGGGATGTGGCACATGAAGACTGAGAGCTCTCACAGTGCAGGTGGTTGGAGGTCATTGGCTACTCCTTGGAACCCCCTGGGACACCTGAGAGGTTGTGCCCAGTGGCTGCTCAGGGAAAAGCCACTGCCTGCTCCTGGCAAGCGACTCGGGAAGAAAGGAGTCAGGGCTGAGATCTCACCTAAAGCATGTGAGCAATTCTGTCACACCCTTTCTATCTCCGCACCATCAGTGATCTGGCCATGCACTGTCCAAGGCAAAACCTCCTTCCCCTCCCCTTTGCCTGCAGCACCTCCATGGGGTAATGGACCTGTCCCAGCAGAGAGCAATGGACTCTCTGCACATTCCTGCCTGGAATCTCTCCCACCAGCTTGGGGTCAGAAGATCTCAGAAGTCAATCATGATTACAGGGCTAGGACATGATGTGAACACACACCACAAGGTGATCAACAGCACATAGAAAACTGTGTGTTTGGACTGGGAACATTGAGAAAGCAGAGCACTGGTTGCTTTTGTCTTGATCTCCATATGAAACATTAGTGATTATGCACAAGGGATTCCTGTTAGAAAACCAGATAACATGTGGATGAAAAGCCAACAGAGCAGTGGAAGATAAAGCAAAAAACAAACCAAAGGCACAGGATTGTTATCCTCTACCTAAAAAGGCTCCACAACAACATAAAGTCCATGTTTATTCYGATTGTCATGTACAACAGAAGCATCTTTGCTCTTCTGTCATCCCTTAAAGCACAGGCTGATGYTTCTCCAKCTCCTTCTCAGCCACAAGWATGGGYTGGTGTAGGTCAGCTCCCACTGCTGACCTGTCTGAGGATACCTGGCAGCTTTTACCTTTCACTACAGTGAAATCAATGGCTTAAAAAATTACCAACTTTTCAGCCAAATTATTCTGTTCAAAATGTCCAACTCCCATTGCATCGGGAGTGGAAAAAGTTGTCTTTGGGCTCTTYGTTTGAAACAGGTTTCTTTCTTTCCAGAGTGTAGATCTCCTCTCCAAACAATATTTCAGCTCAAAATGCWCTGCTGCAAGCACTGCTATGCAAAAATAAAAGCTGCACACTGAAGCTGGCATGATGGAAATCCAGAAGCAGTAATGATTCCTTCCAGAGGAATATCCACCCCTCCTTATACTCTCAGGGGGGCAAAGAGAGACTTTCATCTGTATCTCTGAGAGTTCTTAGAGCTCGAAGGGGATACTGACATATTCAGGCAGCATCGTTTAAAGCCATAGCAGCAGCACCAGCAGCATGTACAGCTAAGCACGCTTCCCTCTTAGGTGTAGTGGAGAGAAATTGAGCTGTCATCCTTCCACTCTGCCTCATTGCAGCAGCACAACCAAAATAYTTGACAGACCCCAGATGAGTCTCCTTTCTAGAGGTGTGATGGCACAGGAAAATAATGACAGTGATCAGCAAACAGAAATTGCAGYGAGACAGCTACAACCACCCCACACACAGGCAGACTCACAAACACGCAGGCACACAACCTTCAGCTATCAAGAGAAGCACAAGACTTTTTGTTTTTTTTTGTTTTTTTTTTCCTGGGCAAAGTGCTGGGAAACTCTCCAGCAGGGCCAGAGAGAGCCTCGATGTCTGGAAGGAGGGGATACTTACCTGGGCTGGAGCCTGGAGCCGGGGAAGGCGATGGAGAGAGCGAATGCCCCGGTCCCCCGTTCACCCTTCGGTCAGGAATGACAAAGCCATGGCTAGTCCCAGCAGGACCGGGGCTGGAAGCCCAGCTGTGCGCTGGGGGCAGAAGGATCTCACATCCCTCCTCCCCTCTCGTCACCGAGCTCGGGAAACTTTGCTGGGGTGTCAGGCGGGCGGTCCTCRGCAGCGCTCAGCGGGCTCCGTGCGAGCTCGGCCGCTTTGTCCCCACTTTCCYCCTTCCCCTCGGAGGCTGATGTCGTTCTCCTCAGGCAGATGGGTGCTCAGCCGCTGCATCCTTGCCCCGCCGCATCCTCTGCTGCCTCCTCCTCCTCCTCCCCGAGCCCGCGGTCCCCAGGAGGCTCAGCCCACCGCCCACCGCTGTCCGGCACCGCTCACCGCGTCCCCGCTGCTTTTCCTTCTTCCTTTTCTACTTCAAGGCTGCAGCTCCCGCCCCCTTCAGCTGACAGTGGTGCCCGGAGCAGAACAGCCTCTTTTTTTTCCCCCGGGGAGAGGAAAAATCCGGGAGAGCATCTCGGCCGAGGGTCAGCCCCAGCCGCGCWCCGGGGCGGAGAACGGAGCGCGGCCGCTGCCGGGGAGAGAGGGAGACACCGCCAAACGCCGAGGAATGGGATCCARCGAGGCGATGCTGCAGCGAGGCACGGATCTCTCGAAGGTTTGAAACGCACGTAACGAATAATAATAAAATAATACAACCMGTGTGCGGTGCCTTTGGATGGTGGGGGGATGCCGGAGGGATGCGGGAAGGAGTTTTTGCTGGGCGGCCGTGAGAGGTGCTGAGACAGGACATGCAGGGGTGCAACGTCCAGGGCGTGGGGAGGTGCTGGAAAAATTTCAAAAGCCATCCCCAGATGTAAAACAATGTTTCAAAGCATCAATCAGATCTATGGTWCACTTAGAGGCACTTGGTGTAAACCCACGGCTCGTGCCAGAGCCTGTTGCAAGCACAGCCAGATCTTCACTCCCATATCAAGAGGCCAATCTCTGACTGTTTGCAGAGCTGGTGAGCACAGGGAACGTGGCAAACTGCGATTCAT